TTTGTGTGTGTGGTTTTAAGTGTGTGTGTTTCCGTGTGTGTAGGCTACGTGTGTTTCAGTGTGTCTATTCGTTGGTGTGGGTTTAAGTGTGTGTTTCAGTGTGTGTATTTGTTTGTGTGTGTGGGTTTAAGTGTGTGTGTTTCAGTGTGTGTAGGCTTGAGTGTGTGTTTCAGTGTGTATTTGTTTGTGTGTAGGCTTGGGTGTGTGTTTCAGTGTGTGTATCTATTTGATTGTGTGTGTGTGTGTGTGTGTGAGTGTTTCAGTGATTGTGTTTATGTGGGTGTGTGTGTGATTACAGCGTCTCAATCCCTCACCTGTGTGTCTCAAGCATGTTGACATTCTGCGTCTGATTGTAATTATCCCCTCAGACGTTCGTTCATCTTCATCTGCGATATTTCACTTCTCTGTGGTCCACGTTGAAGGCGAGCGACGGCTAATCTCACACACCTGATATTTTATTCAGCGCTTAATTAACAGCGAGACCCCGAGCGGCCGCGGGACTCTTCACTCCAGCCCCTCCGCTGCCTTCATGCTCTGTAATTTAGGGTTCGTTTCTGTATAACACAGTTATCATGGACGTCAATGAGGCGAAACCGATAGCTGCGAGAAACTGTAATTAGCTGGCTCCTCGTTAGCGCTCCGCTAAGTCACGCGGATATATCAAAGGACTGTCAGTTTTGTAAACACAGGGATTATTAATGGCGTTCTCCTGCATTTCTGCCTTTGTGTCTCTGCGTCTCCATTCATTTCTGATTCTGAATAATGTCAGACAGAAACGTGCAGCAGAGATGAGGCAGACTCGGCACTTCACTGTCAGAGTGTTCCAGCAGTCCACATGCTAAATACATCAAGCTAAACTAAACTATAATCCATATTTCCCTTTAAAAACAGAACCAAAAGAGGACGTCAGTGATGATTAGCAGTTTAAAACTTCCCAACACAATGATAAACTGTTTAGGATAGTCGCTAGGGTGTTGCTGTATGGTTGCTAGGGTGTTTGGGGTAGTTCCCATGATGTTGCTAGGGTGTTTTGGGTAGTTGCTATGATGTTGTTAAGGTGTTTGGGGTAGTTGCGGTGTGGTTGCTTGTGTAGTTGCTATGATGTTGCTGTGTGGTTGCTAGGGTGTTTTGGATAGTTGCTTTGATGTTGCTAGGGTGTTTGGGGTAGTTGCTATGATGTTGCTAGGGTGTTTTGGGTAGTTGCTATGATGTTGTTAAGGTGTTTGGGGTAGTTGCAGTGTGGTTGCTTGGGTAGTTGCTATGATGTTGCTGTGTGGTTGCTAGGGTGTTTGGGGTAGTTGCTATGATGTAGCTAAGGTGTTTGGGGTAGTTGCAGCGTGGTTGCTAGAGTGTTTATGTTAATTGCTATGATGTAGCTAATGTGTTTGGGGTTTTGGGTAGTTGCTATGATGTTGTTGTGTGGTTGCTAGGGTTTTTGGGTAGTTGTTATAATGTTTCTGTTTGGTTGCTAGGGTGTTTGGAGTAGTTGCTATGATGTTGTGTAGTAGCTAGGGTGTTTGGGATAGTTGCTATGATGTTGCTAGGGTGAATTGGGTAGTTGCTATGGTGTTGTTAAGTTGTTTGGGGTAGTTGCGGTGTGGTTGCTTGAGTAGTTGCTATGATGTTGTTTTGTGGTTGCTAGGATTTTTGGGTAGTTGTTATAATGTTTCTGTGCGGTTGCTAGGGTGTTTGGGGTAGTTGCTATGATGTAGCTAAGGTGTTTGGGGTAGTTGCAGCGTGGTTGCTAGAGTGTTTATGTTAATTACTATGATGTAGCTAATGTGTTTGGAGTTTTGGGTAGTTGCTATGATGTTGTTGTGTGGTTGCTAGGGTTTTTGGGTAGTTGTTATAATGTTTCTGTTTGGTTGCTAGGGTGTTTGGAGTAGTTGCTATGATGTCGTGTAGTAGCTAGGGTGTTTGGGATAGTTGCTATGATGTTGCTAGGGTGAATTGGGTAGTTGCTATGATGTTGTTGAGTTGTTTGGGGTAGTTGCGGTGTGGTTGCTTGGGTAGTTGCTATGATGTTGTTTTGTGGTTGCTAGGGTTTTTGGGTAGTTGTTATAATGTTTCTGTGCGGTTGCAAGGGTGTTTGGAGTAGTTGCTATAGTGTCGTGTAGTAGCATGATGTCGTTAGACTGCATGTGATGATGAGAAGATGACGGATGTTTACTGTATAAAGACCAAAATAGCCTTAAACCATGACTACATGACTACAGAATGTTACGTTTGCACACACACACACACCCACAAATGACATGTAAACACATGAGCTTTTAACAGTGTAATACTCTCTACTCTTGAATACTTTTGTAAGGTCTACTTTTTCTAGTGCTTATTAATTCCCAAAACAATTATTTATTTTTGGTCATTCATATTTTATTTCATTAACATTATTCAGCAACTGTTGTTAGTTTTGTTTAATTGTAATTTTCTGAATGATTATTTTATTAAAGTAGTTTTAGCAATAGTCTTAGTGTTCGTTCACTGAAATATCCCTGTGTTTCTCTTCTCCTTGCAGGACTGGGAGTTTCCTCACTTCATGGGTGATCTGGACATGAATCTCCCGGGTCTGTCCACAACCCAGCTGAAGATCCGACTGCCCGTCTGCAAGCGCATCTTTAAGGAGGAGTATCACATTCACATCACCGGTAAATCAGCGATGACGGTTAAAGTCATGTCGAATTAATAAATACATTTTAAAAAGACGCATCCCAAGTTACCGTACGTTCACACCAAAAGCGGCGAGAGCGTCAAAGTAGCCGGAAGTCATTCATTTTCAATGAGAGCCAGCGGCGAGGAGCGGCGAGGAGCAGCGCGGCGCGTCTTCGCCGGCGTGAGCGTCGAGGAGAGTTGAAATCAAGTCAACTTTATGGTCATGAGCTATGACGCGGTTTGGCGGCAAGCAATCAGAATGAAGACGTCCACCGCTTGATAGCAGTTCAGAGAACACAGACCTGTGAACTTTGGTTCCGACCACAGTTGTTCCCAAGGGTTTGATTATTGCGGTCGCCGGATTTCCAATTATTTACAATTTTTTTTCTACAGGAACATACATTAAATAAGTTACTGGCGAGTTACTGATGTTCATTAATGCTATATAAATTTATCTTGAAAAAGAGGGAATCTCACGCGATGTGACAGTACAAAACAGTAACGTTACTGCTGCTTCAGGATATTTCAGACAAATGGACACATATTGGATAAATAGAGTAAAGCCACACCACACGCAACTTGATCTTCCATTGTTGTAAGAATTTGATAAGAAGTGCGCAACATTTTCACGCTAGAAAACGTTTTATGCAGGAATGTAACTGATATGCTGCAACGGCTCCTTTAAATATGAGATCAATGTAGCGAGTTTTGACGCTCTCGCCGCAGGAGCTGAAGGCAGAGAGCGTTGTCGCCAGGGCGGCCAGAGCGACCTTGGACGCTCTCGCCGCTTTCGGTGTGAACGTACGGTTAGGGTAATTAGGCAAGTCATTGTATAACAGCGGCGTGCAGGAATTACACTCATTACTAAGCCATACCTGAGCGAATATTCAGAGTAGCGGTGAACAATATAGGGAGTCTGTCACAGGCTGACATTGTTCAGAAATGACCCAATGTCAATATAAAAGCAACGATAACTACATTATTGATGCTGCAAAAGGACCTTATGAAGCTGAAAATAGTCACATCAGTCTTTCAGCGGGAGATTTCAGTGGACTTCTGTGCATATAACCCATACATAACAACACAATCTACATCAGCTCTGCTTGACTAAAAGAGATTTAAAACATGGCATGACCTGTCTAACAGAACCACTTCCGCCATGGTGTCCTCCTTCCTCCAGCGTGCAAAAGTTTTGATTCAGCATTTGATTTGACTGCTCTGATCTCATGTGTCCCGTGTGCAGACGGCTGCAGATGTACAAATCTACATTTGCTGACTGACGGTTTGGGCTACTTATCTGAACATTTTTTAGTCTTCTGCCTCACCCAGAATATAAAAATACATATAAACACAGGGCTCGAAATTAACCTTTTTTTTATCTTGGTAGCACTGGCGCTCCTAACTTTAAAAATGTAGGCGCATCAGCCAAAATTTAGTCGCACACATCAATTAAAAGCACTGTTACTACAAGTTTAAATAAACAGATTTATTGCATTTGAAATCAACACTAATCAAACTAACAAGCAAAAAAATAAATGCATGCGTGAGGAAAAATTATAGGCTGATGCGCCTAAATTTGTAAAGTTAAGAGCACCGGTGCTACCTAGCAAAAAGGTTCATTTCGAGCCCTGTATTGTAATTATTCTTGCCTTTAATTTCTTTATAATTTTTTTCGTACATGCTTCACACTCCTACAAGATCACCTCAACCAACCTTTATGAATCTGGTGGTGTTATATTCATATCGCAGCCAAACAAAACATCGCAATGTCATATTTTTGCAATATGATGACAGCACCTAAAATCCGCACACTTGCGCCTCAAGTAGGGCACGACAGCAAGTGTACAGTGAGCACAATTATGCCAATGAATCAAGTGGTAGTGCTCAAAGCTGTCCCCCGGGACAGGACGGGTGAATTAATTTCTTTCCCAAAGGGACGCGCTGTCAGAATATTAGCTCGTTAGATACGTCTCTTTATAATTGTGTGTTTGAAGGCAGCGTCCGTAATGCATACTAATTACTGTTTGCTCATCTGTAAACGTGGCTTTATGTAACGGACTGCTGCTGAAGCCGGTGAGCAAACAGGCGTTATCATTCCTCTCTTTCCGTCCTGCTGTGTTTTGCTCACTGTATGGAGCGTCCCGACGGGAATATATGAGCTGGGAAAATGGCCTTCCTGCTCAACGATTCGTGCGAGTCTTTAACCTTACTGTTTGGAGCGGTGATTTAGCGTTGGGGAATAACCTCACATGAGTGCATTAACAGCCAGAGCCATTAGAAAGCCAATCCAAACCCAATTATTACACTTGCTGGAGCGGCCGGCTGACTCTGAAACACACGCTGGGATGAATATTCCCAACAGGCGGACGCTCCATCAGCTAGCTGCAAGGATGCTGCAGTGCGCTTGCTATGATATTGCAGGTGGTTGCCAGGATGTTACTATGCTAGGGTGTTTTAGGGTGTTGCCGATTTCCATTATGTTTCAGTGCAGTTGCTAGGGTGTTTTGGGCTGTTGTTAGGGTGTTATGGGCAGTTGCTAGGGTGTTTTATGTAGTTGCCAATTGCCATTATGTTTCCATGCAGTTGCTAGGGTGTTTTGGGCAGTTGCTAGGGTGTTTTATGTAGTTGTCCATTGACATTATGTTTCCATGCAGTTTCTAGGGTGTTTTTGGGTAGTTACCAATTGCCATTTTGTTTCCATGCAGTTGCTAGGGTGTTTTGGGCAGTTGCTAGGGTGTTTTGAGTTGTTGCCGTTTGCCATTATGTTTCCATGCAGTTGCTAGGACGTTGCTATGCAGTTGCTAGTGTGTTTTGGGCAGTTGCTAGGGTGTTTCCATGCATTTGCTTGGGTGTTTTGGGCAGTTGATAGGATGTTGCCATGCAGTTGCTAGGGTATTTTGTTGAGCAGTTGATAGGATGTTGCTCGACAGTTGCTAGCATGTTTTGGGCAGTTGCTAGGGTGTTTTAGGGTGTTGCCAGTTGCCATTGGGTTTCCATGCAGTTGCTATGGTGTTTTGGGTAGTTGCTAGTGTGTTGCTATGCAGTCGCTATGATGTTTTGGGTAGTTGCTAGGGTGCTGCTATGCAGTTGCTTGGGTGTTTTGGGCAGTTGCTATGGTGTTTTAGGTAATGTCAATTGCCATTATGTTTCCATGCTGTTGCTTGGGTGTTTTGGGGCATTTGCTAGGATGTTGCTATGAAGTTGCTAGGGTGTTTGGGGCAGTTGCTAGGATGTTACTATGCAGTTGCTAGGTGGGGTGTTTTAGGTAGTTGTCAATTGCCATTATGTTTCCATGCCTCACCCCCCTGGTGTTGGGGGTGAGGTGTCTAAGTAACTGTACCATGCACCGGGTTTCGGGCAGCTTCTGCGATCGGATAGTCCAAAGTTGGCGACCTTGGGCTGTTACAAACGGTACCAAAAATCTGTACCAAAGGCGACCTGAGGGTTTTATAGACTGTACCAAAAAGCTAAGAACTGGGCATGTGTGAAATTACGGGAGTTTTCCTGGAGAAATAACAAAAACGGGAGGGTGGCGGGAGATGGGTCTAAAATATGGGAAACAATGGAGTATTGGCAGGTATGCTGGGTTCACATGCGCGCCTTCATTGGAAATGACAAACTGACACCCTTAGTTTATTAAAATTGCTTCCAAGGCGTGTGCTCAGCAGCCACGTTTTAATAAAACGATAGCGCTTTATACCGAAACTTCATTCCGAACTCCTTTTTTTTTTTTATTGATATTGGCAATGGTGTTTGATCAATGAATATCGATACCGATTTTATTGCCCAGCCCTATATGGTCTTCTGGGTCTGCTCCTATACAGTTGCCAGGATTTCCCTCTTAGTACCACTATAAATATGCAGAATTTCTGTCTTGTTTCTAGTCCAAATATCTAAAAATATCTAAAAAGCATTTTCTGGACAAGTAAAGCATACAGTTTTGATTTCAGACATTATGAGTCAAAATTAAGCGAGTTTTTCCTTCAAACAAGTTAATGATCTGCCAATGGGGTAAGCAAAATAAACTTATTTCAAACCAAAAACAAGATTGTTTTACCTCCCCCACTGGCAGATTATTAAAGGAAAAGCTCATTTAAAGTTGACTCATTATTTCTGAAAACAAAACAATACATTTCACCTGTCCAGAAAATGCTTTTTGATTTAAAGGGTCACGAAACACCAGAACACATGTGTTGAGCTGTTGACAGTGGTATATGTGTCCCACACTGCTAAAAACACTATTAGGACACCTATATTTCACTAAAAAGTGTAAATTGGTTGTTTTTGCGTTATTTCAAGCAAATTCGTACTTCCGGTTTGAAACGAATGTTTGAAGCTGCGTCACGGTCATGAGATAATAGCGTGTATTCCAGCGTGCAGACTGGACGTCTGTGCCAGAGTGTGTCTTATTACGTCTTACAGTGTGATGCATTAATGCATGAGTAAAGCTTGGTTCAAACCAATCAGTGCGCTCTATTGTGCAACTTCATTAATATTCATTACTGTCACAGTGTTTACACGACATGGACGCCACGTTGTGTTGGCAAAACAAGCGTGAAGTGTTGCTTTTATAGTTTGCTGCCGTTAAGTTTTGTTTTCATTTTCTCTCTGTGAGAGCGCAGCTGGAGTCACGTGTGGATTAACAGTGTACGCGACGCTCCACAACAATAACTTACGTGTCTAAGGAGGATTATTGTTTACCTGAGAGCTGTTCTCATCTGCAAACGCTGAGATTGGATACGCTTGTAGTATTCTCTTCATAAAGACGCGGCTCTAGTTGCTGGTGATTGTCCTGTCTCTACAGATTTGGTGAGTGAGCGACCAGTGCTCTTTGTTTATTCAGTTTGTTCGTATCGAACTAAGTTAACTATTGCACCGTAACATGTTAGGACCACAACCAAACTTTAACCTCGTGTAGGGTTTTTAACCGCATTTAGTGACCGGAATAACACACGCGGCTTTCTGACGCTACCTGCCGTGTGCATCTAAGTTTTCGGGAAATGCAGAGTTTTTTTTTCTCTCATTCGCTGTGCGGTATCAAACATTGCATGAAAAATACACGCTTAGAGCAGTTCCTCGAATCAAATATCTCGTTTGTCGCGAGAAGCATGAATGAATTCCCTGAATGAAAGAGCCAAACTGCAGTTAAAGTCCACCATTTAATAATTTGGCAAATAATTCGACTACAGATGTCCATGTAGGTTAAACACCATCACTTTCTACTGTGTGTGAGTATTTTGACTCTGAAACTCGCGCGTGCTCAAATAGACACTCCCACACCCTCCCACTTTAGTTCCTCCGACACTCCCCCCTAAACAGAGCTGGACACGCCCACTTTTCTGACTTTTTCCAAAGTAGAGGTGTGAAAACACCCTGCTGAAACGAGGGGGTGTCATGGCCCTTTAAGAAATTTGAAATATTTGGACTAGAAACAAGACAAAACCAAGATTTTTTGCAGAGGGATGTACACTGAGATGAATTTCCAACATGCTAATTCTTCTTTCTTTCCTCAGGGAAGTGGTTCAACTATGGCATCATCTTCCTGGTTCTCATCCTGGACCTCAACATGTGGAAGAACCAGATCTTCTACAAACCCTATGAATACGGTCAGTACGTCGGTCCAGGAGAGAAGATCTACACCGTGGAGGATCCGGATACTCTGCAGGACTTCAACCGTAGCATGCTCACCTGGGAATGGCGCTCCACCAACATAGACCCACGCACCAACCAGACGTACGTTCAGAGCGACATGTTTCTCCACAGCCGCTACGTGGGCGCTAGTTTAGATGTTAAATGCCTGGCGTTCATCCCCAGTCTTGCAGCCTTCGTGCTCTTTGGGTTCTTCATCTGGCTTTTTGGACGTTTTCAAGATAGCGAAACGATCCCTGAAAACAAAGACAAGAGCTACGAGCGCATCAAGCGTAAATCGCCATCTGATCTGGGCGTCACGCCAGAGGAGGTCAACATTAGCATGAGCGAGGCTTTGAAGAGGAGCGGGACGCCGATGCTGCTGTTGGTGGACACTCATCATTTTGGGTCATCAAATAACTCCATGTCTCCGTGTTCAAACGAAACCCAGGAGACTCAGCCCAGTGTAGCTATCGACAGCGCCGGGCCTGAAGACATGACGGACGTCAAACAGCTCACTCCATAATCCAAGCCAAAGGTCAACTAGATGCAACAAGCCAAAGCTGTGGCCATGAATCAGTGTACTGCGAATCGATTCTGAGATTTTCCAAATGCATTGCGATTCTGAGCTTTTACCGACAGATGGCGCTGTGTGCTCCACGAACACATGCCTTGTGAATCCAAAATATTTAATAATGTTAGGGATGAAAACACTCCAAAGGCATGCGCTATAGGTGAACTGAGAAAACGTATATGGCCGTAGTGTATGAGTGTTTGTAAATGAGAGAGTGCATGGGTGTTTCCCAATGCTGGGTTGCAGCTGGAAGGGCAATTGGCGGTTCATTCTGCTGTGGTGGCAATTGATAAATCATGAACTGAGCTGAAGGATAGTAAGTGAGTGAGTGTTTCTAGTGAGTTGTGTTTACGTTAATCATATGGCATAAAAGCTGAGGTACAATTGACCAATTACAGTACACCACTCAGCCAAACGCACAAGTGCTCTTAATCAGGAGCACTTGCGTATAGAGGTAAAAACTAGTCTAGAGTGCCATCTGCTGTTCAAAACTAGCCTACAATGTGGTCTGCACTCCAAAACTAGCCTAGAGCACCAATTGCTGTTAAAACTAGCCCAGAGCGCCACTGTCAAACTAGCCTAGAGTGCCACTCTGTCAAACTAGCCTAGAGCCCTGTCTGCTGTTCAAAACTAGCCTAGAGCATCACTCGCTGTTCAAAACTAGCCTAGAGCATCACTCGCTGTTCAAAACTAGCCTAGAGCATCACTCGCTGTTCAAAACTAGCCTAAAGCATCACTCGCTGTTTAAAACTAGCCTAGATCATCACTCACTGTTCAAAACTAGCCTAGAGCGCCACTCTGTCAAACTAGCCTAGAACCCTGTCTGTTTTTAAAACTAGCCTAGAGTGTCACTCGCTGTTCAGAACTAGCCCAGAGCGCCGTTTGCTGTTCAAAACTAGCCTAGAGCATCACGCCTTGTAAAACTAGCCTAAAGTGATCTCTGCTGTATAAAACTAGTCTAGAGCACCACTCTGTCAAACAAGCCTACAGCCCAGTCTGTTGTTAAAACTAGCCTAGAGCGCCACTCTGTCACACTAGCCTAGAGCCCTGTCTGCTGTTATAAACTAGCCTAGAGTGCCACTCACTGTCATACTAGCCTAGAGCCCTGTCTGCTGTTATAAACTAGCCTAGAGTGCCACTCACTGTCATACTAGCCTAGAGCCCTGTCTGCAGTTCAAAAAAGCCTAGAGCACCACTCGCTGTTCATAACTAGCCTAGAGCGCCGTCTGCTGTTCAAAACTAGCCTACAACGTAGTCTGCACTTCAAAATGAACATAAAGCAGCATCTGCTGTTCAAAACTAGCCTAGAGCGCCACTCTGCTGTCAAACTTGCCTAGAGCCCTGTCTGCTGTTCAAAACTAGCCTAGAGCGCCACTTTCATTCAAACTATCCTAGAGCCCTGTCTGCTGTTTAAAACTAGCCAAGAGCGCCACTCGCTGATCAGAACTAGCCTAAAGCCCTGTTTGCTGTTCAAAACTAGCCTAGAGCGCCACTCTGCTGTCAAACTTGCCTAGAGCCCTGTCTGCTGTTAAAACTAGCCTAGAGCGCCACTCGCTGTCAAACTAGCCTAGAGCCCTGTCTGCTGTTCAAAACTAGCCACCCACTGTTCAAAACTAGCCAGCGTCACTCGCTGTTCAGAACTAGAGCGCCATCTGCTGTTCAAAACTAAACAAGAGCCCCCACTGCTGTTCAAAACTAGACTAGAGCGCCACTCGCTCTTCAAATCTAGCCTACAGCGCTGTCTGCTGTTCAAAACTAAGCTCGGAATCAATTTTAGAGAATTGCAATGAATTTTAAAAATCAGCGAATCGACTCGCATGGATGTTATCGCCACAGTCCTACAGAAAACCTCTAAAGTATGTTGCTGATTGGCTTTTGAGGTTTAAAGAAAACCATCTAAAAGACATCACAGACTCTATCGTGAAATTTCTATTTTTATATAAAGCTCTTGAGCGATCTTGCACATGGCGCCGACTTTTTGAACTTCTCCACGTTCCTCAAACACGTCCTTCGAGGACGCTGGTCAATGGTGCTGGACGTGTGATGTTTTTATACTTCTTTTTTAATGTAGATACTCCTGTGCCTATATGTATAAGACACTGCAGTGAATGCATGGCATGACGGTCATGAAAAATACTCGTAATGAACACCTAGAGCTGTGCCTTCATTAAAAACACCTGCGCATGGGTCACAGATCCAAGTCTGATCACTATCTGTAAGGCTACTTATTGTTTTAGGAAGTGAGTTCATGAACTGGTTGTCGTATGTATGCGGGAACGTCTTAAAATATCTCCGTCTTTAGGATGTTATTGTCGTATAAATGTATCCCTATAAACCAAACTGCTGTGCAACTGAATACACGTTTACATGCATGTGTCGGGATATCTGAATGATATGCACTTGTTACTTCTTTCTTTTCTTTTGCATTTTCAGATTCAACCAAAGCAATGCCATCTAATCCCCGTGTTGTTTTGACCGCTTTCTCCAGTGTTTTGTTTTCATGTTGGTCCTGTGTGTTTTTCTGATGTGCAGGTGAGCCCCTCTTGAAAGGTTCAGATGGTAAATATGAGATATATTTGACTCGAAGCCTGTTATCAATAAACGACCTTCGTTTGACACGCAGGTACCGTGTTATTTCAGCGCTTGCATGTTATCTGTGGAAATGGTTCTTCTCCAATCGAGGTGCTCCCAAAGTGGCGACTGCTGGCGTTTGCCGCCGGTAGTCGTGATCCGTCGTGACCTTGTTGCCAAGCAACCCCTGTGGGCCGACCTTCGTCCAGATGTTGATCCGGTTCTGCAGAAAGTGGCAATCAAACCCATTTATAGGAGCATTTTGTCAACATCCATTAGGCACCATTACGGGTCACAACACAAGGGTTATGAAAGCGTTTCTTCACTGAAGGTGATTTATTAAAGCTTTCAGAAATCTGCATGTGGCACATTACGACTTCATATGTGGCCACTCTCACTGTTTGCCCCCGTGGAGAGACGTGCAGAAGTTTCTTTGAAAATATTGCACTTTATAATAGATGCTCTGTAATTTCTTCTGAGAGTTGTTGTCTGCCTTGTGTTGTGTTGCGCTCTGACATGATAATTCTCTATCTTTTCAGTACAATAGCTGTAAACCTGAATTTTCTTGCTGCATTTGCACGCCTTTCAATCTCCACACAACACACTCCTAATCTGTTTTGCCTCAATCTCAAGGGAATCTGGACCTCGCTTGGCTTTTTTGTTGCCGTGCCAGAAAAAACCTCTGATTCTGGTAAATCTGTTGCCCACCGTCTGACCGTAAGTACGTCGCTGATCTTCAATATCTGTGATTATGCAGAGGAATTAACTATTGATTTTTTTTGCTGCCACAGATGGACGCGCGTACTGTATTAGCAAAGCAAGTTAGATGAGAACATTACGTAGAATTAATCCCTGATGACCTACAGCCAAATACTGCAGATAACCTAATAATATGCAAATTTGGGGTACAAATTTGTCATTTAGAAGAATGTTGGTAAAGATAAATGAATATGTGCATATATATATATATATATATATATATATATATATATATATATATATATATATACACAGTTGAGGTCAGAATTATTTGCCCCCTTTGAATTTTTTTCTTTCTTAAATATTCCCGAAATGATGTTGAACAGATTCAGGAAATGTTTACAGTATGTCTGATAATATTTGTTCTTCTGGAGAAAGTCTGATTTGTTTTATTTCAGCTAGAATAAAAGCAGTTATTTTTTTTTTTTTTAAAAACATTTTAAGGTCAATATTATTAGCCCCTTTAAGCTATATATTTTTTTTCAATAGTCTCCAGAACAAACCATCATTATACAATGACTTGCCTAATTACCCTAACCTGCATAGTTAACCTAATTAACATAATTAAGCCTTTAAATGTCACTTTAAGCTGTATAGAAGTGTCTTGAAGAATATCTAGTCTGATATTATTTACTGTCATCATGACAAAGAGAAAATAAATCAGTGATTAGAGATGAGTTAGTACCACTATAATGATTAGAAATGTGTAAAAGAAATCTGCTCTCTGATACACAGAAATTGTGGGAAAAAATAAACAAGGGGGACGAATAATTCTGACTTCAACTGTATAAGGAAGCCAACTGATGTGTGAAATTAATGGGTCCAAAAACATTTATGCATAGACCACCTTTACAATAATACTGAAATAAAAATGTATATAACATAACGTTTATGTTTTACAAAATAATACAAATATAAATGTATTAAAAACCATAACATATGACGACTGTCATGACAATAACTGTTGTTATTATGCAAATCATCAAAATAAAATGTTCAATATTCCAAAAATATTATGAAAATAACTAAACTGTAAGTGAGCCTATATACTATAATTACTAAATATGACACAAATATATTTTTAAAAATCTATCAATTGTTTCCTCACATTTTATCTCAAACATGAAAATAAAGGCACATGATATGTATTCAAATTAATCTTAAAGTAACTTAAAAATATATATTTTTAAAGGCCCTCTTGTTTTTGGAGCATACATAGGCTGGATGTATATGTAAAAACAGTCTTTAAAATGGATGTGTGTGTGTGTGTGTGTGTGTGTGTGTGTGTGTGTGTGTGTGTGTGTGTGTGTGTGTGTGTGTGTGTGTGTGTGTGTTAAATTGGCCAGGTTTCTCGACAGCAGACGTGTACCTCATTTAAAACCGTGAACTCGGTCGCCTCGAGCTCTTGAATTGAGTCGTGATCGGTGGGGATTTTCTCCGGTTTTCCAGCAGATCATCTGTCATGTCGGGCACTCGCTCGTGTCTCCGTGATCACAGTACGGAAAGACTCAAACTCGTGACAGAGACGGAACCGCCGCTCGGTATCTGTCACTCAGTCCTCCATCACGGCGGCAATGAAGCGCGCGCGCGGGAATCCTGTGTCAGAGCGCTTCAATTGGAATTCCGCCGCTGTCCGGGTCTCAACCGACAGGGCAAATCCCCGTTCCGAGCCACTCACACGTTCCTCCGAGAAAACCCAGCAGCCTTAATATCTCAGTGCACTTCCAGAGATAGAAAGAGTCCATTTTTATCAAGCGTGCTGCAGGGAAAGTCATGAGTCTATCACACTGTCCTTGAGAAGCGCAGTAATGAGCGGTTTCGCGGGAAAAGCCGTTAACGGTCTCGCAGCGATATTCAAAATTTAAAATAAATAAATAAGTAACGGACGACCAGAGCGTTTTCCCTCAACGGCAGCTGCAGACGGAAGATAAACTTAAGCGTGGACTGCAGGAGCTGATAAGATATCACATTTACTGGTTATTATGAGGGAGAATCAAGAGCGCTTCGTTTTCCAGACGTTTGTCGATGTTTCAGGACAGTTTCGCTCATCTCAGCTGTCATTCTCGTGTAAAATCGATTGTGTTTTTGGCTCCATCTGTTGAATTAAACCACTGAGGCCTGTTGCATCAACTGCTAGTTGTACAGGTTAGTCAGGTGTTTATCAGGGTTTTTATGTGGAATTAAACAACCCTAAATCTTCTCTGACATTGATTCCAGACCTGTATGGCATTTTGCCTGTTAAACACAACACATTTATGGCTTGATTTCTCCAAAATATTAAAATGGCGGATAAGTTATAAAGAGCTCACAGAAACTGTTCAACGGTAAACTCTAGATAGGATACAACTGCAGATATGCACATCAATATAGCTGCATTTTTTATGACACAATATAACAATAATTTATTATTTTACAGTACTGTGATGGTTGAGTTTAGGGTAGGGGTAGACGTTAAAAACACAATTTATTGGGTAATATAATAGATAACAAAAGTAATACTCTGTACAATTACTAGTTTTACATTACTGTGATGGTTGGTTTTAGGGTTGGGGTGGGGGTAGACGTTAAAAATAAAATGTATTGGGTAATTTAAATGACAAATAATACTCTTTAAAATTGCTGTTTTTACGTTACTGTGATGGTTGGGATTAGGGTTAGGGTGGGGGGAACGTCAAAAATAAAATGTATTGGGTAATTTAATAAATAACATGAGTGATACTCTGCACAACTACTGTTTTTACATTACTGTGACAGTTGGGTTTAGGGTTGGGGAGGAGGTAGACAATAATATAATTTGAAATTAAATAATTTTCGTTACATTCTGGCCGCAACCATATCTGATCCAGCAACATCCCTGTACAACTCAAGTCATGTATCGAAGCTTCTATGTTGTCACAAAATGTTCATCTTTTTATCTCATAAATGTGAGTATATTATTACTTGAGTTCATAAATGTGAATTCTGTTTACATGTTGTGACGTAAACTTAATGTATTGAGAAAAAGTATTGCTAAATGTAAACATTTGAGAGAAAACATGATGCAAGTTAGTTTTGGCAGTTTTTCACACTTTCACATGTTCAGCTTTTTTGTAGAAGTTTTTGACTTTTTTATGTTTCTATTCTTAAAACTCTCACATGATTTCTTGCAGTTCTGATTCATCACTGTTCTCAGTTTGTAACTTGCAATTCTGAGAAGTTATTTTTTAATAATTCAGACCTTTTTCTTGTTCTTATTTTACATCACATTTCTCAGTTTATACCTTGCAATCCAGATTAGTTTTTTATGACTTTTTCCTTGTTTTTAAGTCTCACAGTTCAAATGATTACATCTCTAATGTTTTATCTCACCATTCTGCCTTTTTTCTTGCAATTTTGATTTGATCACAATTCTGAGTTAATAAATACCTCGCAAATCTGACTTTATATCGAGAATGTTTTTTACAATTCAGATTTTATAACTTTCTGTTCTGAATTTATTAGTTTCTGAACATAATATCAGCCAGAACACATAATATGTACATAATAAATAATGCTACTGTTTGTAATTGTAATGTTTTATTAGGTTTTAAACTCTTGTAAATATGTTGGTAACACTTTAGTTTAGGTAACTTCTGGCTTATGACAATTTCTAAAATAATTGAATTAATTTTCCTTCGGCTTAGTCCCTTATTTATCAGGGGTATCCACAGCGGAACGAACCACCAACTATTCCATCATATGTTTAACACAGCGGATGCCCTTCCAGCTGCAACCCAGTACTGGGAAACACCCATACACTCATTCACACACACACACACACACAATCACACACACACACACAATCACACTCTCATACACTACGGCCAGTGTAGTTGATCAGTTCCCCTATAGCGCATGTGTTTGGACTGTGGGGGAAATCGGAGCACCTGAAGGAAACCCACGCCAACACACAGAGAACATGCAAACTCCACACAGAAATGCCAACTGGCCCAGCCGAGACTCGTACCAGCCACCTTCTTGCTGTGAGGCCACAGTGCAACACCACTGAGCCACCACGCCTCCCAAATAAACTGTTTATTAGCACTTATGAAGTATGATCTGATTTTCCATCCCTAATTCTATACACAATACCTAAAGCCAACTACTATACTATTAATAAGCAGGTAATTAGTAGTTTATTGAGCTTAAAGTCTTTATTTTTATTTGTTGTTTATTATTGTTATTAATAAATGGATAGTTACTTAAATTAAAGTGACCATAGTTTATTGTATTACATATATAAATTAGCCATGAATTACCCTGTTAAATCTATATTTAAAATCCTGACTCAGATTAGCATTGCAGCACTGAATGGGGTGGAGCTTCATGCTGTCATTCAAACATCCAGCCAATCAGATTCCTCCGCAGGATCTCCTGTGCGGTTTTTAATAGCGAGCAGAAGCCGTACTATCAGCTCCCCGACAGTCGTAGCATCTGCCGCCGTGGGTTTCTCTCTCTGATAGTAAATTGGTCATTTAGGAGCCAGCTGGAATCAGGCCGGTGCATGCTGGGATTCCTCCGTCCCGCCGCTGGGGCCCGCTGGGCACATATGGCCCCTGTGCCAGATCTGGCCCAACACTGGAGCCGCTCCACAACAGGCTTTTATTATATTTATAACACTCCAGATATTATTACAGTCCTGTCAGGAACATTCATGACCACAAGGATATTTTTCTTTATTCATTAGCTGAAACTGACCACA